AGTTGGAGTCTCACTCTGTCGCCCAGACTGGAGTACAGTGGCCGCTCCCAGTCACTGCAGCCTCGACTTGCTGGGCTCCGGCGATCCTTCCACCTCAGCCTTCCAAGTAGCCAGAATTACAGGCGCACGCTACCACGCCCGGCTAATTTTTTGATTTACTGTAGAGATGAGGTCTCACCAAGTTACCCAGGCGGGTCTCAAACCCGCGAGCTCAGGCAACCCACTCACCTCAGCCTCCCAAGGCGATTACAGGCTGAGCCACCGAGCCCAGTTAACAACCTAATTTTAAAAAGGGCAAAGAACTTGAGTAGATATTCCTCAAAAGAAGACACAGAAATGAGAAACAGGCATATGAAAAAAATGCTCATCATCACTAATCATCAGGAAAATGCAAATGAGATACCACCTCATGCTTGTTAGAATGATGGATAAAAACAGAACTACCATATGACTCAGCAATCCCACCTCTGGGTATTTATCCAAAGGAACTGAAATCAGCATGAAGAAGAGACACCTGTACTCCCATGTTCACTGCAGTATTACGTGGGATCTAAAAAAGATGAACTCTGAGAAGCAGAGACAGACGGTGGTTGCCAGGAACCCGAGGGTGGGAGATGGAAGGACCATGGTGAAATGTTGGTAAAAGGGTACAAAGTTTCTGTTAGGATTAATAAGTTCTGGAGATCTATTGTACAGCATGGTGACTACAGCAAATGTATATCTGGAAACTGCTAAGAGAGTAGATCTTAAATGTCATCATCACAAAATATAAGTATGTGACGTAATGATTATATGTTAGCTTGATTTAGTCATTGCACAACGTGTATGCCAAAACATCACATTGTAAACCACAAGCATACAATTTTTACTGTCAGTTATACCTTAATAAAGCTGAGGGAAAAAATAAGAAAAAGGCCAAACTGATCACTTTTATTGTCAATAATACAAACCAGCTGCCATTCTTTCCAACTTCTCTAATAACAAAAGCAGAGACTATTTAAGTCCTCTAGATCTGGAACACTGTTCATTAGTACCTAAATTGGATTCAAATAAAACAATAAATAATGACTATTTTGCCAAATATATTAACCTTCTCTAAGCCATATGTTTAATAACTTGGGTCTATATATTTGCTTATTTAAAATCACTATACTTTATAGTTGAAGTATGGAAATGGATTCAAGTATTCATATAGTCAACAGTATTTTTGTAAAGATAAAAGTCATTAACGGTAGCAAGCTTCAATGTTTACAGAGACTTCTCCCACCTTCTCTTTATTTTGCTCTCAAATTATGACAATAATTTAAAAGACATACCTGTTTGATGGGCTCTGCAATTAAACACCCAACTACCTTCTTTTCATCAGATACAAAAAGAAAAGTTTTGGTTTTGCTTGGACACCTGGGAACCACTTGCTGGAAGCCCAATTCGTTATCAACAAGTTCTTGGACATCTTCTACCTAATGACGTTCAGAACCCAAAGGGGGGGATTTATTTTTAAAAATACAATAAAAACCACATATATTTACATACACAAAACATATAATTACTATCATTTTGGCCTCCTTTATTTCTATTTACTATATTTACACCACCCTCTCCACGTTACTCATTATTGATGTACGTACCTGCCACTTTGGAAACAGGGTTTTAAGAAGGTATTTTAAAGATCACTTTCGATAGAAGGAAATTCAGACACCCGAGAGATTTAAGGAGTAGAAAGTGCCAAAACAGATTTGTTTGAGCTTTGCTCACTGTCCATGGTGGCTAAACATCAAACCCAAGAACCACAGGCAATAACAGCATACGGAATAGACCCTGGGGGCCATTAATTTCTTAACACTGGATAGTTTGTCTTTCACAAGGGAAAAATGAAGATAAAAGATAAGCTATGGCACCTTAGCTGCTTTTTTTACTCCTTTGTCTTGTCATTCCAAATTTAGTATTGTATAAACTGCTATGAAAGTTATCCTTAGGCATGGACCCAAGGGGATCATCTGTCAGCAAAGATGGTTTGCACTTCAAAAATAGGATGATGTCTTGGGGATGGGGAAGAGAACATGGATTAAAAAGATAATGTTCCACACCTTTCTGATAGCATAACTTGGATCATGTGGCAGAACCAACACAATTTTGCCATCCCAAAACTCTGCTACGACACGTTCTTTCTTCCATCCCTGCCAAAGGAAAAAAAGGGGAGAGAGGTATAGTTTAATTTGCAAAGAGAAAAAAAACAACATTAAATAATTTGGTCAGGAGAAGAAAAAAGGCTAAACAACGAATTGTGTGTGTGTGTGTATATATATATATATATATATATATATATATATATATATATAAAAGGATAAAACCAAAGTAATTCAAGTAATGTGGGAAGGGAAATAAAAGATGCCTAAAACAAGGTGGCAGTCCTCAGTGGGCTGACACCCTGTCTGGAAACACGTATATGACCTACTACATAACAAAGTCAAGTAAGAGCCTTCCGTAGGAACACAGACAAAGAAATACCAGATTATTATCATGGAGTGCTGAGTAGGATAAGTCGAATTCCAAGGGAATCTTTAGGGTTCTATCTCCTGTGCTTGACCAAACTACAAATGGGCTCACAGTCTTACTACCTCTTTTTCTTTCCTCCCTTCCTTCCACTCACTATTTATTTCTTCATTTATGTATTGTTTGAGTCGGAAGTTTCACTGTCACCCAGGCTGGAGTGCAATGGCATGCTCACGGCCACTGCAGCCTCGACCTGCTGAACTCAGGTGATCCTTCCGCCTCAGTCTTCCAAGTAGCTGGAACTACTGGCATGCACCATCATGCCTGGCTAATTTTTTAATTTATTGTAGAGACAAGACCTTGCCAAACTGCCCGGGCTGGTCTTTAAGTCCTGGGCTCAGGCAATCTTCTCACCTCTGCTTCACAAAGTGCTGGGATTACAGATGTGAGCTACAGTGCCCGGCTCTTACTACCACTTGAATCTCAATCTCCAGCACAGTGCTTTGGAATGTGAATCCAGTGTCTGATGTAGAAGTGATATAGCATTTGAAAAAGGTTTTTAAAATCCCTGGTTGCCGGGCATAGTGGTTCAGCCTGTAATCCCAGCATTTTGGGAGGCCGAGCAAGAGGACTGCCTGAGCCCGGAGGTTCGAGACCAACCTGGGCAACTTGGTGAGACCACATCTCTACAATAAATCACAAAAATTAGCCGGGCATGGTGGTGTGCATCTGTAGTTCCAGCTACTTGGAAGGTTGAGGAGGAAAGATTGCCTAAGCCCAGCAGGTCGAGGTTGTGGTGGTCGTGAGCATGCCACTGCACTCTGGCCTGGGCGATGGAGTGAGACTCCAACCACTCCCCCACAAAAAAACAAACAAAAAAACACCTTGGTAAGATTTCAATGGGGAAAGTGGTCATTCCTGCCTAAACGAACTGACTGAATAAGCAAAGGTGCAGAGAATGGCAAAAAGTCTGGTATGACTGACTGAATGACTGGAAGAAATGAGACGAGAATACTTGAAATAAATTTAATAAGATCCACATGAAGAACACTATAAAACTTTCCTAAAGGATATAAAAAACATGAATCAATAGTGAGGTATACTAAATTCCTAAACCAAAAACCTCACTGTGAAAAATAGATTATTCCCTCCTCTAGGAAAATGGCATCAGTTTGACTATAATTTCAATAAAAATTCCAATAGCTTTTTTATTTGTGGGGAACTTAATGACAGGCACATTTTACAGTTTATTTGTAGAAAATGTCAATACTTGTTAAAAGTAAATGATGAAAGGGGGCTTACCTGACTAGATATCCAGAGTATGAAGCTACATTTAAGAGTATCGTACTGGCACAGGAACAAACAGATTGATGGTGCAGAAGTGTTCATTTACGGGAATTTAATAAACATTATAGGTGGCATTGCTAATCAGTGTGGAAGTTAAATTAGTAAAACAGTAATGCTGGCACACTAGGCAATCCTTTAGAAAAAATATAAAGTCAAGATTCATCTCTAATACCATATATTAACATTTTCCCAATGAATTAAAGATCTAAAAATAGCTGGGCGTGATGACTCACACCTGTAATCCCAGCAGTTTGGAAGGCCAAGGCGAGAGGATTGCCTGAGTCCATGGGTTCGAGACCAGCCTGGGCAACATGGCGAGATCTCGTGTCCACAATAAATCAAAAAAATTAGCCAGGCGTGGTGGCAAATGCCTATATGTCGCAAAGAGCTATAAAAATATTTTTGAAAATATAAGAAAAACTTTTTACTAATTTCAAAATTGAGATGATATTCCTGACTTAAGAAATTAATTACAGATTAATTTCAAATTAATCACAAATTAAACACAAATTTTAATTTTCTATTTTGCAATAAGCGGGGGAACTGCACCAAAATGGAATTTATTTATACAAAGTTGTGTACTTATTCTGTTTTTTTCTTTTTAATTCAAAGTCTCAGTCACCCAGGCTGGAGTGCAGTGGCTTGCTCACAGTTACCACAGCTTCAACCCACTGGGCTCAAGTCATCCTTCCGCTTCAGTCTTGCAAGTAGCTAGAATTACAGGTGCAGGCTACCATGCCCAGCTAATTTTTTGATTCATTGTAGAGACGAGGTCTGGCCAAGTTGCCTAGGCTGGTCTCGAACCCCTGGACTGAGACAATCCTCTTGCCTTACCTCTCAAAGTACTGGGATTTTAGACGTGAGCCACCGCACCCGACCTAGCTTACATGTTATTCAGTTAGCTTCAAAGTACTCTCCATTTGATGCAATACGCCTATTGAGACGCTTTTTCCGTACTCAGAACAGTTTCTGAATTCATCAATTTTGATGCCTTTTAGTGCTTCTGCCATTTTTTCGTTTCACCTGTTCTACACTGGCAAAGCGTTTTCCCTTTGAGGACTTTTTTCATCCAGGGAAGCAAAAAAAGTTGCTTGGAACTAGATCAGGTGAACAGGGAAGTGGGGGCATGGGGGTCATGCCCTTTTCCTCAAAAACTGAAAACTGAGAATGGTGTGGGCAGGTAAGCTGGCAAGTCACCTATCATGAAACGGGTAAATACACTGAAAGAATCTCAAATATGTATATATTCATTAAAGCCAAATGCAGCCTCTCACAACAACGCTAGCTGGCACACTGATGCCGGTGGTTTCCTAGTACACTTACTCAGTTGGGGAAGCCTGTGCTCCAAGGGGTCCACCCTCCAAAATATAATTCCAGGTTTTTTTGGGGACACTCCTCATATATACCATAAAAAGGTTAAAAATTGAGCAATGGGCTGGGTGTGGTGGCTCAAGCCTGTAATCCCAGCACTTTGGGAGGCTGAGACAAGAGGACTGCCTGAGCTCAGGGGATCGTGACCAGATTGGGCAACTCGGTGAGAACTTGTCTCTACAGTAAAGCAAAAAAATCAACTGGGTGTGGTAGCATGCACCTATAGTTCCAGCAACTTGGAAGGCTGAGGCGGAAGGATCACGTGAGACAGGCAGGTCAAGGCTGTGGTGACTATGAGCATGACACTGCACTCCAGCCTGGGCAACAGAGTGACACTCTGACTCAAAAAAACAAAACAAAACAACATTTTTTTGAGTCAGGCTCTCAGTTGCCCAGATGAAATGGTTAATGCCAGCTGGGTGCAGTGGCTCACACCTGTAAACCTAACACTTTGGGAGGCCAAGGCAAGAGGACTACTTGAGAACAGGTCAGGGAGGGCAGAAATACCCAAATACATACTCTCTCTCTTGCATATATCTTACACGCACATATATAGGAAAGATTTGAGGCTAGATTAAGGAACATCTAACTGCTGGTGGGAATTTTTTCTTCCTAAAAGTAAATAGAATTATACCTGACATATCATAAGGTGTTATTCTGATAGCACTATGGGAGTCCAGTAAAAAAGCTGTTTTAATAAACTAGGCCAAAAATATTGGGAAGGCATTAACTATGGCAATAAAAATAGAGGGAAAATGTATCCGAGTAGCAGGTACAGTCATAAAGATAAGGCCAGTGATACAATGTGTCTGAACTTGAAAGGTGTCTGATAAAGGGGTGGGACTATCTTCTCAGAAAGAACCTGAAGAAGTTTTTCTTAGACTATGTATAAAGAGGAGACTAGAGCAGGAAAGGGGGATCTCTTCAAGTTTTTGAGTTTTGTCTCTCAACTATTCAGCTCTACTAAGAATGCAGGGTGTTGACATGATGCTTCTCTTACTAGGATAGTAAGTTAGAAACATCATTAAAAGTCAACCTTTAGCTTGCCGGGCTCGGTGGCTCAGTCTGTAATCCCGTGCCTTTGGGAGGCTGAGGTGAGTGGATTGCCTGAGCCTGCGGGTTCGAGACCCGCCTGGGCAGCGAGACCTCATCTCTACAATAAATCAAAAAATCAGCCGGGTGTGGTAGTGCATGCCTGTAATTCTGGCTACTCGGAAGGCTGAGGCGGAAGGATCGCCGGAGCCCAGCAGGTCGAGGCTGCGGTGGCCGGGAGCGGAGCAACAGAGTGAGACTCCAACTCAAAAAAAAAAATAGTGTCAGCCTCAAAATTTAAGGACAAAAACTGCAGATGATGAAATATTTATGAATATATAGATCTTTCAATATTTAAAAGAAATGGCTCTTTTAAAGCAGTTTTACTTTTAGAATACATTGGAAGACTACCTTTTGACTCACCGTATACTTGATTCCTTCTAGAAACCTTTGGTGATGCTGAACATGCTGCATTTCATCTTCAGGGCTGGAAGCAGTATATATCATGCCACAAGACTTACACATAGTAGCCCCAAAATGTTTCTGACCAGCATCCTACAATGATAGCCCATCAAAATAAATCACAAATAGATCTAAATTAAGTTCATGTAAACAGTCATTTAAATTTCTTACTTTTCTTTTATGCTGACACAAGTAAAAAAGTAAGTAAAAAGTCTGGCTACTATACTCTCCTTCCCTTCCCCACAAAAAAAATAATAGAAAAAGAGACCTAAAAACACAATAAATTGATGAAAGTAAAGGAATTGTTTCTTTGCATGGACCTTGTAAAAAACAAAACCAAGATTCTTGATTAGACCTATAGTTCTCAGAAAGAGCAAAATTATATCATAAAGGTTATACATAAGGTGAGCAATGGGACATCTTTAAGAAGCTCTCAGATCAAAGACCTGAAAAAGCCTTATTTCAAAGAGGAGGGAAAAAAATCCCAGTACTTCTATATTAATTATAACTTTTTCCTTAAGCAGCTAAGAATATTAAATTCTTTATTCTTAAAGAATATTATTTGACCAGATGATATTGGCCAGGCATGGTGGCTCATGTCTATAATTCTAACATTTTGGGAGGTAGAGGCAGGAGGCTTGCTTGACCCTGAAAGTTCAAGAGACCTTGTCTCTACAAGAATAAAATAAATAGCCAGGCATGGTGGCACCTGCCTGTAGTCCCAGCTACTCAGGAGGCTGAGGTGGAAGGATCACCTGAACCCAGAAGGTTGAGGTTGTAATGAGCCATGATCATGCCACTGCTCTTCAGCCTGGGTGAAAAAGTGATACCCTGACTCAAAAAAAAAAATAAAGAATTATTTGTCTCAAGACTTAATAAAAAAAATATAATAAAAGTCCAAGAAAGCCGGGCTCAGTAGCTCAGCCTATAATTCCACGCCTTGGGAGGCTGAGGTGAGTGGATTGCCTGAGCCCGCGGGTTCAAGACCCGCCTGGGCAACTTGGTGAGCCCTCATCTCTACAATAAATCAAAAAATTAGCTGGGCATGGTAGCACGCGCCTGTAGTTCCAGCTACTTAGAAGGCTGAGGCGGAAGGATCGCTGGAGCCCAGCAGGTCGAGGCTGCGGTGGACAGGAGTGGCCACTGCACTCCAGTCTGGGCGACAAAGTAAGACTCCAACTCAAAAAAAATAAAAATAAAAAAAAAGTTCAGGAAAAGCATAGATAAACTTATGAATATATGAACATCAGGAATATCCAACCCACAACTGCCATTCTATCGCATAAAACATTGCCTAATGCCACTGAAAATACCAAGTTCTGAACTGTCTAATACAGTGATTGGCAAACTTTTTCTGTAAAGGAGAAGCTTTGTTTTGAATTTACTTACAATGATGAACTGGTCTTTTGTTTCTTTACTTGTATCTCTGATATTAGTACTCTTCTGGATGTTGCCTGGTTTCAAGAAGTTAGTACATATGAGGGATTCCACAGAAGACTGTTCTTCAACTAGAGATCTTGAAAAAAATTTGGTAAATATTATATATAATTTTACTGCTTGAAGAATTACAAGGAAAAGAAAACAGACACATGTATGTAACATTCACAGAGCATCTTGCAATTTTTAGTACCTTCTATCCAACACTAACTTGATGAAATAACAGCGTTAGGGACAATGAGAAACCTGGGCCCACTCAGAGAGGGTCAGTAATCTACTCAAGATAAGGTAACTAGTGAATGGCAGTGTTAAGACTCAAATCCTACTCTTCTGACTCCAAGTCCAAGGGAGTTTCCTCTGTAGTATATATCAGATGCACATAGATGGAATCATTTTGGAAGCTGACTTCACTCTTAAAAAAAGGTATTTTTGGGGGGCTGGGCGTGGTGGCTAACGCCTATAACCCCAGCACTTTGGGAGGCAGCGGTGCCCGGGAGCGTGCTGCTGCCCTCCAGCCTGGGCAACAGAGTGAGACTCTGACTCAAAAAACAAACAAACAAAAAAGGTATTTTTGCCTCATCAAATCTTAGGATAGTATTTACCTATGTAGGTATAAAGAAATACCTGAGGGACCTGAACAAGTAAAAAGAAAGTTGAAAAAATAAACCTATCCAATACTTTAAGTCAACCTGTCTTAATATCATTTGTCTAAAACAGTGGCTTTCAAACTGACTTGACAAACCCATGGTAAGAAATACTTTTCCCATCTCAACTAGTACAAAGACACATATACAACTAAGGCCAAAGTTTGACTGTATACACTTGCTATGTGAGAAATATACTATTTCTTTCAAAAAAAACACTGGAGGCTGGGCTAGATAGCTCACGTCTGTAATCCCAGCACTTCAAGGTCAAGGTGGGCGACTGCTGGAGCCCAGGAGTTTTGAGACCAGCCCGGGCAACATAATGAGACCTTGTGTCTACAAAAATTAGTTACTCGCAAGGCTAAAGCAGAAGGATCATCTGAGGCCAGGAGGTTGAGGCTGTGGTGAGCTAGGATCGTGCCATTGTACTCTAGTCTGTTCAACAGATTGAGACCCCTCAACTCAAAAACAAAAACCAACAGTCCCGCTGGATATGACATCCTGAAACTGGCTTGGGTACTGACACTTTCCGCCTTACGCAGCCTTTGCTAAATAACTCAGCTCTCCCTGACCTTGCATGCGTGACAGCAGTCTCTTCACTTCCATCTTAGCAACTGTAACACTTTGCTATGCTTATTTAAGTGCCAGGTCCTCCTCTAACCATAACCACCTTGATAGCAGGACCCTGTGTTATTTATCTTCACATCTCTAGAAATCTGTATAGTTCAACAGCACACAGTAGATACTCGTCTGTCAAATGAATTTTTAAAACAAAAAGCCGAAAGTGAGACCACACACTTAGAGAATCTGTAAGCTACCTGAAATAGAACTGGCAGATTAAACCACAAGAAATTGCAGGCATTTGACACTTTAGATTCTACAGAAGAGCAATTTCATATAATTCAAAGTATCCCAATATCTCTTTATGCTACATATTAAATTAGTATATACTTTTATCAGCCAATTGTGGTTGGCTTCTGCTATGGTATAGTATGTCCCCAAAAGCTCATGTGCAGAAACCTAATCCCCAAGGAAACAGTGTTAGCAGGTGGGCCTAATGGGAGGTGTTTAGCGTTTAGTTCATGAGGGCTGCACCCTCATGAATGCATTAATGTTGATTAAAGGACGTGAGACACAAGCAAAGCTCTCTTGCGCTCTCGTATGCACCCTCTTACTCTTCTGCCTTCCTCCATGGGAAGATGCAGCAAGAAGGCCCTTGACAGACGTGGCTGCTTGATCTTGGACTTCTCAGCCTCCAGAACGCAAGTCAAACAAATGTATCTGTTATGAGTTACCTAGCCTGTGGTGTTCTGTGATAGCAACAGAAAATGAACTAAGACAGCTTCTGTCTTCAATGATGAGTTATGAAAGACAACACAGGTAAAAAAAAGGGAAAGGTGAGAAAAATTACAAACATGGCCTTTGAGGAAAAGTTACCCACTTAATCTAATCATGGAGATAATTTAAGGTGAGGTGCTCTAAGAATAGAGGAATTTTGCTGGGAAGCTCCTTGCCTAATATCTAAGTTATTTATCATCAAATGGGGAGCAAAGAATCAGAGCTGCTTAGGAAGACGATGCTGACAAGAGGCTACTTTTTCAGAGCTCTGCCACCTGTCAAGCTTTCTACCCATCCATACTTCGCCTCCTCACAGTCCAGCTTTGAATGGGATACTGTTGGCCTCAGTTATAATTTATGACAACACTAAGCTGCTGAAAGTTACGTACTCCTCTGGCCAGTTTTCTCATCTGTATAATGGAGTAATAATGGTACCTACGTTGCGAGGTTGTAAATGTCTTATTAAATTTTATCTAGTGTTAATATATTATCATCCAGGAAATGTAATATGGCCCAATGGGCTTTTGGTTCAGACACAGAACCTAGTCCTTACCCTAGCTGTGCAACTGTGGTTAAATTACAAAATTTCCTAGGCAGAAAATGAAAAAGAAGCATCTAACTGCTAGGTTGTTGTGACAATTAAGTGACTTAAGATATAAACTACTTATTTTGGGCCAGGTGCTATGTAATAATGTTAGCAATGATTACTCTAGCTCATAAGATCCTTCTCATTTCTCAACTTTTAAGCTCCTGAGAAGTTTCTATTATTGTTACCCTTAGTGAGGAAGAACAAAACAATACCCAAATTGAACAGTAGCAGAAGAAAAAAAAAGAGACCCAGAGGACCTATATAATTAATAAGCCTTGGACTTAAGAACAATTCTTACCTTTTTGAACCGACTGAAGACACACTGAAGATGGGATAGACAGTGGACTCAGGAGAAACTGGTAGGGGAGGAAATGGCAATAATTTGCATTACCAGATAAAATCAAACCTTTAAACCATAAAATTTTAAAGGTTAGTAAGACGAAAATACTCACTTCATCACTCAACTTCAAGATCTAATAGAAATTAAGACAGTATGATACAGGCAAAAGAACAAATAGATTAATTAAACAAAATAGCCCAGAAACTGACTCAGTCAACTGATTTTTGACAAAGAAGCAAAGGCAATTCCATGGAGAAAGAATAGTCTTCAACAATAGTGCTGGGACAATTAAATGTTCATATGCAAAAAATTATACATATACATACCTTATGCAAAAGCTAACTCAAAATGAATCACAGATCTAAATAAAACATAAAACTTCTAGAAAAAAGTTAGAGAAAAATCACTATAAATTATTTGGTAGTAAGTTTTTACATACAACACCAAAAGCACAATACATTTTTTAAAAATTGATTTGCACTTTGTCAAATTTGAAACTTTGGCTCGGCGTAAAAAAAAAAAACCAAAAAGACCTCCAAAAATCCATAATACAAAAAATCAAATCTAATCAAGAACTTATACATAGAATATTAAAAAATTCTTATGGTATATCCATAGTTCAGTGATAAATGGAAATTACTACGGATACATGCAACAACATGGATAAATCTTAAACGTATTACTAAGTGAAAGAAACCAAACCCAAAAGGCTACGTATTGTGCGATTTCGTTTTCTTTTTTTTTTTTTTTGAGTTGGAGTCTCACTCTGTCGCCTAGACTGGAGTGCAGTGGCCGCTCCCGGCCATCGCAGCCTCGACCTGCTGGGCTCTGGCGATCCTTCCGCCTCAGCCTTCCAAGTAGCTGGAAGTATAGGCGCACGCTACCACGCCCGGCTAATTTTTGATTTATTGTAGCGATGAGGTCTCGCCAAGTTGCCCAGGTGGGTCTTGAACTCGCGGACTCAGGCAATCCACTCACCTCAGCTTTTCAAAGTGCTGGGATTACAGGCTGAGCCACCGAGCCCGGTATATTGTGCGATTTCAACTGTGTAATGCTTTTATCGGAAAAGGTAAAACTATTGGGACAGATGAATGGTTGCCAGGAGGTTTATGGAAGGGAAGAGTAGTTGACTACAAAGAGAAAACATGGGGAAATTTTAGGGTAAAGGAACTATTCTGTATGGTACTAGAACTGCCAATACATGACTCTATGCATTTGACAAAACCCATAGAACTGTGTATCAAAAAGATATACAATTCACTCACTGAGAGGGAACTTCAGTGTATGCCAGGAGAGAGAGAAGAAAAAAAGAAAAAGAAAAAAATATATGGAGAGAGGAATCCTAAGATGGAATGCAGACTATGACAAATGAATCTAACTATATTAGAACTGTATAGGCTGGGCATGGTAGCTCATGCTACAGTTCGAGACCAGCCTGGACAACTCGACAAGATCTCATTTCTACAGTAAATCAAGAAAAACTGAACAGGTATGGTGATGCATGCCTGTAGTTCCAACTACTTGGAAGGCTGAGGTAAAAGGATAGGCTGAGTCCAGCAGGTGGAGGCTGCGGTGGCCATGAGCATGCCACTGCACTGCAGCCTGGGAATGAGACAGTGAGAGTAAGACTCTGACTCAAAAATACAAAACAAAAGAACCATATGGCATAACTACACTGAAGGAAAAAGGGGGGATAAAAGAGAAACTGACCTAAACTGCTTTAGCAAATGGTGTTTTGACTAGATATTGTAAGGTTAAAGACCAAAGACTATACTTAAACACTACTCTTTTTTTCTTTTTTTTTTTGAGTTGGAGTCTCACTCAGTCGCCCAGACTGGAGTGCAGTGGCTGCTCCCGGCCACCGCAGCCTTGACCTGCTGGGCTCCGGCAATCCTTCCGCCTCAGCCTTCCAAGTAGCCGAAATTACAGGCATGCACTCCCACACCCGGCTGATTTTTTGATTTATTGTAGAGATGAGGTCTCGCTGCCCAGGCGGGTCTCGAACCCGCGGGTTCAGGCAATCCACTCACCTCAGCCTCCCAAAGGCGCGGGATTACCACCGAGCCCGGCTTAAACACTACTCTTAAGAGGTGGATTTATTTCTCACAGGGGTATGAATGAACATATTTGAAACTGTTTCACATATATCCTGGGACTGGACAAATTAGTAGGTAAGCAGGGAACAATGGGATCTAAGTATCTCATTGTCTGAGAGGAAAATTACAGATAAGTAAAAATGGATATAATAAACCCAGTAATATTGGATTAGAGTCAAGGACATCAATATTAACTCATGTTTATTTAGTATATGTACAGATGGAGGGATACAGGATTAGACATGTGTGCATACATACATATATCTATCTATCGATCTATTTTTGAGTCGGGGTCTTACTTTGTCACCCAGGCCGTAGTGCAGTGGCACGCTCACGGCCATTGTAGCCTTAAGCTGCTGGGCTCAGGGGATCCTCCCACCTCATCCTTCCAAGTAGCTGGAACTACAGGCACATGCCATCATGCTTAGATGATTCTTCTTATTTAGTTATTGTAGAAATGAGGTCTCGCCATACTGCCCAGGTTGGCCTCAGGCAATCCTCTTGCCTCCACCTCACTAAGTACTGGGATTACAGGTGTGAGCCACCAGGTGCCCGGCTACATACATATATTTTCTAGCTTTGTCTGCAGAGAGGGCTTAGAAGCATCAACATTCCATTAGCAATGAGCACTCCCAGAGTCCAGATCATTTCTGAATATCATTCTCCAATAAAGGTAGCCAAGGTTCCTTGGGAAAATGGCTGATTCTAGTGCAAGGACAGAATAAATACAAGATGAGCCTGCGGTACCTCCAGTGCTGGAAAGTAAAGAAGTGCTCACAAAACAAAGGTGAACCATGCCAAAGAGAACCAACCTGAAAAGACCACCCAATGGCCAAAGCTGTAACAATTTGAGTAATAAAATAATGTATTGAGCTGGGCTCGGTGGCTCAGCCTGTAATCCCGCGCCTTTGGGAGGCTGAGGTGAATGGATTGCCTGAGCCCGCGGGGTTGAGACCCGCCTGGGCAACTTGGCAAGACTTCATCTCTACAATAAATCAGAATGAGCTGGGTGTGGTAGCACCTGTAGTTCCAACTACTCGGAAGGCTGAGGCAGAAGGATCGCCGGAGCCCAACAGGTTAAGGCTGCGGTGGCCGGGAGCAGCCACTGCACTCCAGTCTGGGTGACAGAGTGAGACTCCAACTCAAAAAAAAAAAAAAAAAAAATGTACTGGATTATAACCCAAAATGCAAATTAAATATTCATGAGTCTATACAGATAAATATCAAGTCTACGTATTTATTTAAATGATTGAATAAATAAAGAGAGTAATAGACAAATCTTCCTCACAGCAGAATTTCAAGGCTGGGCACAATGGATCATGCCTGTAATCCCACCACTTTGGAAGGCTGAGGCAGGAGGACTGCTTGAGCCCACGAATTCGAGACCAGCCTGGGCAACATAATGAGACCTCATCTCTCCAAAAAATTAGCCAAGCATGGCGGTACAAGCCTGTAGTTCCAGTTACTCAGGAAGCTGAGGTGAAAGGATTGCCTAAGTGCAGAAAGTCAAGGCTGCAGTGAGCTGTGATAATGCCACTGCACTCCAGTCTGGGTGACAGAGTGAGACTCTAAATAAATTAATTAAATGAACAAATAATAATATAAAAAAGTTCAAATAATATACATAGATATTTCCCCCTCCAGAAGCTGAATCCCTATAACCTCCTAGGATGGTAGGCTAGGTTTAGTGACTAGCTTCCAAAGAATATAGATAAGGAAAAAATAGTAATTTTACAGTGGAGAAACCTGATAAACATGACCTTCACCTAGTAATGAAAGTTAACATCACCAGTGATGTCATATGATTATTATGTACTTCCTTGATAAGGTGTGATGAGAAGGGCACTTCATTTCTGTGGTATTCTTTCCAAAATTCCTTAACTCCCAGTATAACAAGAAAAACATAGGACAAACCCAGATACAGGAACATTCCACAGGGTATCTGGCAAGTACTGCTCAAGAATATCACAGTCATGAAAACCAAAGAAACAAGGAAAAGATGGGAAATGTCACAGACCAGAGAAGACTAAAGAGACTTGACAATTAAATGTAATGTGAAGCTGGGCTCAGTGGCTCAGCCTGTAATCCCGCCCCTTTGGGAGGCTGAGGTGAGTGGATTGCCTGAGCCCGTGGGTTCGAGACCCGCATGGGCAACTTGGCGGGACCTCATCTCTACAATAAATCAAAAAATCAGCCGGGCGTGGTAGCGTGCTCCTGTAATTCCGGCTACTCGAAAGGCTGAGGTGGCCAGGAGCGGCCACTGCACTCCAGTCTGGGCGACAGAGTGAGACTTCAACTCAAAAAAAAAAAAGTCTATTTTTTAAAAAGACCTCAGTTGCCAAGCATGGTGGCTCACATCTTTAATCCCAGAACTTTGGGAGGTGGAGGCAAGAGGATTGCCTGAGCCTCAGGGTTTGAGACCAGCCTGGGCAACTTGGCAAGACCTCATCTCTACAATAAATCAAAAAATTAGCTGGACGTGGTGGCACGTGCCTGTAGTTTCAGCTACTTGGAAGGCTGAGGTAGAAGGATTGCTCTAGCAGTTCGAAGCTGCGGTGGCCGTTGAGTGTGCCGTGCACTACAACCTGGACAACAAAGCGAGACTCCAACTCAAAAAAAGAGGGGAAAAAAAAGACCAAAGTTAAAATAGTAGTTGCTTCCAGAAAATAGGCTATTTAGTGTAAAAAGCAAACTTTAACTTTGTTTTGAAAAATAATTAGAGCTCATCCTTTAAAAGCAAGACCAAGGCATGTAAAAGTCTGATCTGCTGTGGGCAAATGACTTAACCTAAGTTCATTTCCTCATCTATAAATGGGCAAGAGCGAACCTATTTCCTAGGGTAGTTGAGAATTAAATGATAAACGGTAACTATTAAGTAATAAACCTTGGTCACTGTTATACTACTTTTATGTCTTTTGCCATATCCTTGTACTATTTGTATTATTATTATTATGATCATTATTATTATTTTGAGTTGAGGTCTCACTCTTTTGCCTAGGATGGAGTGCAGTGGCACGATCATGGCTCACCACAGCCTTGACCTTCTGGGCTCAGGTAGTCTTTCCACTCAGCCTCCCAAATGGCTGGAACCACAGGCATGTGCCACCACAACCAGTTGGTTTCACGATTTTTTTTGGTAGAGATGAGGTCTCACTATGTTGCCCAGGCTGGTCTTGAACTCCAGGGCTCAAGTAATCCTCCTGCCTTGGCCTCTCAAAGTACTGAGATTACAGGCATGAGCCACTGCACGCAGCCCATTTATATTACTTTTATTCACTATTTTTGTCTAAACTTACAAAAACATAATAAAATACTAAATATTTAGTGCTGCCTAGTATATATTCTGCACTCAGTAGCTACTAGTTATTGCATCACATCTCAGATTTAAGCATAATGAATAATTATCCTATATATCATTAGATCCTCTAAGGGCTACTGTTCTGGGTTACGCTTTTATTTTTATTTTTTGTTTCTTTCCTATGAGCTACAGATTGTCATGACAGTCAGCATGTCTAGTCTCAGAATTCTCACTTATTTCCAAACTTACAGATATAATCAATAAGGCAAAGTTACCAAGAATCTGGTTGGTAAGTAAAATGCTAACTAATCTTTTCATAGATTCATAGTTTAGCAAATACTGTTTAATTGAGCAATGACACCGTAAGTTAGCGATAGGATTTAAGAAATATTAGAAATTTAAAAATTAAGATTAACCCCTTAGAGATTAAAAAATAAAGGCAGGCAAGATTTTATAATGAGAACACTCAACTCTAGAGAGCTAAAGTAACTTGAACAGTCATAGGCCAATTAAGTGTCAATATTTTGTCTAAAGTTTTAATCTAAGATCTCGTCTCCTGCTTTTCAAAATGTATTGCATTTCTTTACAACAGAAAACAATGTGATAGGCAAACACAGATACTAACCACAGGCGCACCACTGGAAAAAAAAGAAAAATTATTGCGCATTATTATATGTAATACATATAATGAAGCATTACAAGTAGCTGAATTCATGTGAGCTTTCTCTTACTTACTTGTCTTGTTCTTACCAAGAGAATCCCCTGAAGGAAAATGCTTGTTTTTATCAACTTCACATTCTCTTGAAGAAACTATGCCACCTGGTGAATGCTGACAATAACAGGTAAAAAAAAAAATAAATCTATTATTCTTAATCATGCTCTTAGTAAATGAATCCCAGTAGATCTGTTTCTAACATAAAACATTTAGTTTATTATGAATTACATTTTATATGATTTTAAATCCTAATTTTTCAAACCACTTTTAGGAAATTTCCTCTATATTCATTAAATGTACATCACCTTTTAAAAGCTAGAGTATACATATTGCAATTTGTCATCTTGTCAAAAATGTACTGTACTTTCTGATACAGATCACAGACTGAAGATTACAGGCCACATTTCCATAATAAAAAGAACAACAGGCCGGGCTTGGTGGCTCAGCCTATAATCCCAGCATTTTGGGAGGCCAAGGTCAGAGGATTGCCTGAGTCCATAGGTTGGAGACCAGCCCAGGCAACCTGGCAAGACCTCGTCTCTACAATAAATCAAAAATTAGCTGGGCATGGTAGTGCATGCCTGTAGTTCTGGCTACTGGGAAGGCTGAGTCGGAAGGATCACTGGAGCTCAGCAGGGCAACAATAGGGTGGCTGTGAGTGTGCCACGGCACTCCAGCCTGGGCGACAGAGTGAGACTCCAACTCAAAACAAAACAATGAATCCAGTAAAAATGGCATGACCCTAGCAGCCACCCATCAGTTTGCCATTTCTCAGAGCTCCACAGTGAGTTAGGGAAAGGATAGCCTCACAAAAATCAGATTCACCCTTGGATAGCAGAGATGAATCCTAGTAAAGGATATTTAGCAAAATCCTAAGAGCAAGGTCCAGTTCTACAAATTTAAGATTAATAAAAGCCCTAGCCAGGCTCGGTGGTTCAGCCTGTAATCCCGCACCTTTGGGAGGCTGAGGTGAGCGGATTGTCTGAGCCCGTGGGTTCGAGACCCGCCTGGGCAATTTGGCGAGACCTCATCTTCACAATAAATTAAAAATCAGCTGGGTGTGATAGCGCATGCCTGTAGTTCCAGCTACTCGGAAGGCTGAGGCGGAAGGATCGCTGGAGCCCAGCAGGTTGAGGCTGCGGTGGCCGGAGCGGCCACTGCACTCCAGTCTGGGCGACAGAGTGAGACTCCAACTCAAAAGCAAAAAACAACTTAAATTCCTACAAGGACAGCAAGTAAGTAAAACAGTTTTCAAAACTGACCTATCTAAATACATATAACAAACACTGACTCAGTGTAGAGAAATGAAGAGCCCATCCCTGTCCAGTGATATGATTCTCAGCCTGATACTCAGCTCTGAGGGGTTACTGCCATGCAGAAACGAAGGCTTAGCTCTGCCACACCTTTCAATATTTCATGAGACACCAGAAATATTTTCTAGCATTTTTCAAGCACGCTGGCTCAAATTTTTAAATTATGTAGGCCAAGCAAAACATCCTTGGGCTAGATTTGATCCACTGGTCACCAGTTCACAACACTTGCCGTTGAGTTTCTAAGTTGAAGTGATTATAAGAGGAACGAACTGGGGTTGAATTTGACAGAAGTCAGTGAGGAAGACAATAATGAGGTGGAGGTAGGAAGGAAATGACTACAGAGAGTTTGAAGTGGTGGCTGTATGAGCCTTGAAGCGTGCCCGGCATGTGAGCCTATCGTTTCTCCAGCTGTAGGGGTTGTGATGAGTATAAAAAAGCCACCAGACATGGAAGCTGATCTGGGAGACAGTCTTTCTTAAGGCCTGCTGCTTTCTGCCCCCAAGACCGGCTTTTCTCTGATTGTGAGTATGGGCGGGAGGTCAACAACAGAAGTTCTAGACCAGCGTAGTATAATATGGCAGCCACCAGCCATACCTAGCTATTGAGAATTGAAATGTGGTTAGTCCAAACTGAGAAATGCTAAGTGTAAAATAAACATGGAATTTGTACAAAAAAGTATAAAATATTAATAACTTTCTATACTGACTACATTGAAATGGTAGAAATGGTAACACTGAAAATATACTGGGTTTTTAAAAAAAAATTTTTAAATGTGGTTAGTTTAAATTGCATGTGGCTCATATTATACTTTTATCAGACAGCACTAGTCTAGGATAGCTGTGTGGTATCAGCTATACCAAATGGAAAAGCAGAGAATGGCAACTATGAAAACACAATATATAAAATAAACAAAAACTCAAGTATACACCTACAGCGATCATCTCCAGGTAAAGGGATTACAGAAGATATTTTCTGATACTTTCTGTAGACTCTAAAACTTCTACAATTACCTACTACTTTAGCTAAAACAGTGATATGCTTATACTCCAGAAACATACTCCCTGAATTTTGTTATTTCTACTTTCTGAAAACATTGACTACCAAATAAAGGTTATTAAACTTTTCTGGACAGACCTTAGTTGACTTATGAGGAAATTTAACGAAACGTGTACCTTAATCCCAACAAAATGTTAGTAGGCTTCCTTAAGTCAAAAAAAGGGAGAAAAGTTTCATCTTTCCACCCTGTCTCTAAGTTCTTTACAGTAACTAAATGCTATGCTGTTTGGCTTTATAAAAGCAGTCCCTCTGGACTGAAAAAAAAAATCAAATTTTGTTTAACTATGTTATTTATATGATTTCCTTATATTAAAGTTTTGTTATATAACCATTTTAAAAGTGACTTATTTAGCTTTCATTACCTTTACTAATTTCTCTTCATTTTTACTTCTTGCACTCAGTAGTTCAATGTTCAAATTTTCTTCTAGTAACAAGCACTTTGGCACTCGCTTTGCCTCAAAAGTTTTTACTTCACTGACAGTCTCTACATCAGAATCCTCATCCATGTATCGTTTATTCTTTTGGGTGAGTTCCAGTGACAGTTCATTTTCCAGAGAACGTTTTCTAAGAGATTTTTTTCTACTAACAAAAAATGCTGCTCCACCCTGAAGCGTAACTTGTGGTTTTATTTTTTGGCTTAGAACCCGAGGAGCACTTGGATTATTTCTAGTTGAGCAACAATTACTCTCTTTTTCCACAATTGGCTTATAGGTCACTCGATTTTGCTTGGTATTTTTAGAATTCCTTGATACAGGCTTGATGTGCTTATAACTTGGTTGATACTTAGCAGTTAAGCTCTTCTGAGGTTTTTTGTTCCTCTTCTTGGAACAGACTGGTTTTCCCTGCATTTTTTCTGTCACAGTGGGAAGGGAGTTATCTTCATTACTAGCTTTTAAACAAGTGGATCTACTCTCTTTTATCAGCTTTCTCTCCAGTGGATTGAGGTACCACTTATTTTTGTTGTAAAAAGATACAGTGGACACAACAGATTCAAATAGTGAACCTTGATTTGCAGGTGGTAATCTATTATTTTTAGTTGTGAGGGGACTTAGAACGAAATGGCCTTGTTGCAAACAATGTACCTTTTCTTCATTTTTATCACTGTTTGGACAAATGTTCTTTTTACTAGGTGATGGAAACAGATTTTCGGTAAGGCGCACAATTAACTTCTTTGACGGAATATCTGACAATAGGCTGCAAAAATAAAGTCCATGGGTAAGTTATTTTGCTTTAAAATGTACATAAATCTACTGCTAAGTAATAAACTCCACCTATAGATCATATTGAAAACAACACATTCTTCCCCACCATACATACATACAGTTATATATTAGTTTAAAAACAGGATTCTAAAGTTGTCTTTATCAAACAAAATATTCAAATATCTTTCCAAAGTAGGATTCCAATAATGTTCATGAAACCACTGTATACAACAAAGCTTTGATTTATGTATATGTATGTGTGTTTTTAAATGATATACAGTATATGCATGTAGGTTTTAATTCTACGTCTTGGTCATATACAAATTATAGCCCATATTGTTCCACTGGCTGCAAAAAGTCTCCTATAATGATTAATTCTCTGTAATAAACTGACCCCCGGTGGTCTTTCCTGTGAAAAGTAATTTATATCTCTGACTACATATTCTTTCTAGGATTGCTTACAGACAAGCATCTACTGTATGCAAAATACTACGTAAAATATCACAGAAGCAAGTAGAAAGGAACAAGGTAATAAAATATTTGATATACTTAGTAGCCATAGAAAACAACTCTTTGATTCCCTCCAAAAGGACAAAATAATTCATTATGAAAACTTACTGTATTTCCATACTAGAATTAGAATACACAATATTACTATAGCCACAAGGATGAATGGAAACTTCAGAAAATGAAGGCGAGAACGAGACAAGAAGGTGGACTTTTCTTAAGAGTGTCTATCCATACCCCGAGACTCACCTGTCACAGTTCAAAGAATGCTGCTTCCTCTCCCTGGGAGTAAAAGTTGCCATCTTCACCGAATTCCTAAAAGCAATTAAGACAATCATAATAACCAAATAAATCAAAAGGGCACAAAATAAAATTAAAAGTAAACCTTTAAGCCCGTAAAAATTTCCAGGTGAGTGATCGTCCCCGAAGACCCAAGAAGAGGGTCTTTCCAAAGACGAACCGATGAAGCTTTAAGTTAGGAGTTTAAAGCAAGAGGCCTGGCGGGGTGGCTCACGCCTGGGCTCCCACCACTCTGGGAGGCTGAGGCGGGAGGACCGCTTGAATCCAGGAGTTCGAGACCAGTCTGGGCAACACGGCGAGCCCCCGCCCCCAACTCCACAAACATTCAAAAGAGCCAGCCGGGCGTGGTGGCACGCGCCTGCAGACCCAGCCGTCAGGAGGCCGAGGCCGGCCCTTCGCCTGAGCCCAGGGACAAGGCTGCAGTGAGCCGCGGCGATGCCTCGGCCCTCCAGCCCGGGCGACAGAGCGAGCCCGGCCTCGACACACACACCTTCCTGTTGCTGACCGACCAACCGGGGCAGAGGCCGGCGAGGAAGCGGGCGACAGGGAAACGACGGGTGAAGCGCCCCCCGCTC